AAATATGTCAATTTCTGACTCTTATGGTCTGTTAGCAAGGGAGGGAAGAAGAGATAAAGGTCAAGAAAACCCTTATTTGAGTTGGTTCTATCATAGGCTGGCCTCATGCTCTTGGGCCTGACAAATGTTTAAAGCTACCCCTTTCTCCAGTGGATTGTTTTCAAGGGCTTTTCTGGAAGTTCCCATTTGGGCCTTCCAACTGCAACTTCAATGCACATTTTCCTTTGGCTTGATGTTTCTCCTATCTGCAGACCCTGGCTCAAGAGGGGCCATTCTCCATGGACTCACACTTGCTGGAGTCCCTTCTCCCAGGAGGTTCAACTGGACAGATCTTAAAAGGTCTGGAGCTTAGCTCTCTCTTCAGCATTTCCCACATCTGGTCCATGGGAAATACTCATCCCTTGTCTCATCAAATTAAGGGTGTGCAGGACTTTCCCCAGCTCAGCAGCCCTCTCCTGATTCCACCATCAAAGTGGCCAGTCATTCTGTTTCTCAGCTTCTAGATTTCCCAGTGGAAGTCAGCATTCAGGCCATAGTTATATGTGCCAACATGTTGCTCTCTCCATGTGGCCAAGTGGAAGCCCCGTCACTTAGCTAGAAATGAAGGAGGTGGATCCCTCTATCACCAACTCCCCATCTTTCAACAACTCACACACACACCCCTTTCTAAGAAGGTTTAGGAACTCAAAGTATTGTTCAAAGAGTCCTAGAATACACATGCCAGTTAGAAAAGGCAAGGGCTGTCCATTTTAAGGTCACTGGGTATACTTTCTACTTAGTTGTTTCAAGGTTAGGAAGAATCACTTATCCAATTACTGGGGACATGAGACAATGACAGCTCTTTCCTAGAATGGATGAAAAGAAAAGGATGATGCTGAGAAAAGAATTCCAACCCTAATTTAAGAAAGACACTATGAAAATAATGTCAGTACTTCAAATGACATATCAAAGGAGGGGCACTAGGCAATCAGATAGCTTTTTCCTAAGAATGACCTTATTGGAGTATAATTGCTTTACAATGGTGTGTTAGTTTCTGCTGTATAGCAAAGTGAATCAGCTCTACATATACATATATCCCCATATTTCCTCCCTCTTGCGTCTCCCTCCCACCCTCCCTATCCCACCCCTTTAAGTGGTCACAAAGCACTGAGCTGATCTCCCTGTGCTATGTGGCTGCTTCCCACTATCTATTTTACATTTGGTAGTGCATATATGTCCATGCCACTGTCACTTCGGAGTGACCTTATTTTTAACACAGACCACCAGGAAGAGTGAAATACAAGAACAGAGTTTCCTTTGCCCATGATCACCTCTATCTTAGAACTTCCATACTAACCAGGGAAATTTCTTTGTTGGAAAAGTGTTAGATGGAAGAGAAGTAGAGGCTACTCAAGCAGTTGTTGTTTTTATTGTTGTTGTTGTTTCTCTTGTATGACTAAAGAACATTTATCTACTCAACAAACATATTTTGAGCAGCCCCATGTGCTAGGAGCTGAAGAGAGAATAGTAAAGAAGATGCTAAAAAGGGGCTTATAGTCTAGATAGAAAAGCATGCTGATTTTAGTGTTATTTTGCTATTCAAATTAGAAAAATGCTTACAGGAATCTGTAGCATAACCTACAGTATTTTTCAGAGAAATTCGTGTTGAGGAACAGTTATTTTGTATTTTACCACTTAATATGCAGGTTACCAGACATTCTGAATTCAAAAGGCAGTGAAAAATGGAAGAAAATATAGAATAAAATGGATAGGAATCATTACAAACAAATGTTAATTTTAATAATAATGTCATAAATTACAATTGTTATAATAGTTATTTTTACAAATAACATTTATTGAGCACTTGACCAAGTGTCAGACCTTATGCCAAGGACTTTCACGGATTATCTCATTTAATTTTCATAACAAAACATTTAGATAAGTATATTATTATCTCCATTTTATAGATGTGGGATTTGAGGCACGACTAGTAGGTGACAGAGCCAGATTTGAAAAGGGCTGAGTTTTAACCATTTCTTCATGAAATCTGGGAGTGAAAATGTACTACACACATTCCCTCAGTTGTCGATTCTCCACTGGAGTGGGTTTTGGATGGGATCCGTCCTCAGTGGATTATTGCAGATAACCCATGGTTTGTCAGTCACGAGGGAAAGGTTTCTGGTGCTCAACTCTATTTTGTGAATTTTAATGTGTGCATATAATAAGAATTTTCTCCCAAAATGTATTTGTTCCATTAATATTATCACCCTTGCCTGTTTTGTGTTGGAAAATCAGTGACGTCCTGTTGTAAGCTTTCATCTTAATTGTCTTCAATGAAATTGTACTGAAAGAAGGAAGGCATTTGGAAGCAATGAGCTTCAGGGAGTCTTCCAGGCATCTCGGAATATAACAGCCTTCGTGAAGTGTTCTCATTGCCTATGGGATGTGTGGGCCCCAAATTCATGGCCTCCTTCACGAGGGAGCCTTCCCCTTCTCCAGCAGAACTGAGCTCCTCTGTGAGATCACTTCCTTGACCGTCTGTCTCCCACCAGTGCTCCGTTAGTGGCTCTGAAGCCCTCTTTCAGAAGCAGAAAGAAGCCCACGGTTCCAAGCTGAGGTGCTGAGGATCCACTGCTATGCCACTCCTTGTGCTATCCACTCCTTGACCACACGGAGTCAAATTTTAGGAATATCTGCTAGAAAAAAAAGAGCAGCCCCTCATGCTGAAAGAAAGTCTCCGAAGTGGGGTCGGTTCTCTGGAAAACAACTGGATATGGTGTTGGTCTTTATTACAGTTTCCACAGACTAAAAAAAAAAGTTGTTTATAAAACAAAAGCCACATCGATTTGATACGGTAACATTTTTGAGAATTTTGTTTTTGCACAGCGGAAACCAGGGCTGATGTGCTCATGGTGGAAATGGAGCCTGTTCAGTTACCCCAAAGCACCTCTCCTAAAACACGAATCTGAGTAAGCCAGGCTCGGCCTTGCCAGGAACAGCCGGCATTGTTTGGCTCTTTGGAGAGACAGGCGAGGCCAGCAAAGCCCTCATACCATGCAACACCACGCTCACACACCCAGGCTCTGGCCTGCCCTCCGAGGGACGCCTCCAGGGTCCTCACCTTCCCTCCAGTCCCTGGACCACATGGTGGAGGACACGGTTCTGGCCTGTCCTCTCCAGCGCTAGGACCACCTGGGCAAGAGGAGACTCCTCTCTTGTTTGCAGTTCTGTTCTCAGACAGTGAAAGACGCCAAACGAAACATTCAAGTTTCCTGCTGTTTTGAGCCAGATCATGTGAAAACTAAAGAAAATCTATGTTTGCTGGCTTTGAGAACAGGAGTAACTACTTTTTTAAGCACAAAGGAAGCAACTTACAAGGAGGGCCAGACTCACAGTGAGAAAGTAAAATGTGTAGGAATCCTATTAAAATTGGGGCTTTGGGAGACCTCCTATTGGCTGTGTCTTCATTTTCCATACCACTAGAATAGTTGATTTTCCCTCTTCCTGTCATTCTGTGGTGAAAAATTAAATTCAGTGCTGCAAGCAAAAATTTGGGGGGAAAGATTTCTTATGTTTTGTAGAGTACTGTACTATAGAAACTATTTGGATAGTATATATATATATATATATATTTCCCTACAAAAATGAAAAGAGATACTTCATTTGTTTGATTCATTCAGTATCATGGTGACTTATGGCTGGACACCAGCAGTCTAGGTTCCTGCTCTCAGGAGTTCACATGTGCTAAGTGGGGGAGATAGACAACAAATTCGTAAACTCTGAAATATATCATGTAATTTCTGACAGTGATAATGCTTTGAGAAAAAATAAAGCAGGGTGAGGAGATAGAAAGTGAATAGGCAAGGTGGTCAGAGAAGGTCTCCAGGAAGAGAAAATAGTTGAACAGAGAGCTGAAGACCTGGAAGGAGTGAGCCATGCACAGTTCTAGAGGAAGGGCATTCCAGGCAAGGCTGGTGGCTCAAGCTGAGTACAGGAGGGAAAATGGTGTTGGATGAGACTGGAAAGGTCAGGGCGTGTTGGTTCCTGTTTGCCATGATAAGGAATATAGACTTTATTCCAAGTGTTATGGGAAGCCTTTGAGAGACTTTGTTTACTATCAGCTTATTCTCTACCCAGTTCCAAAAAGAGATAGAATTTTATCCGTTCATTCGACAGTTATTTATTGATCACTAAGCATATATCAGACTGGGTCCAGTGCTTTAAAAATTATGACCTCTGTCATCAAATGAGGGGATAAGAAAATAGCATGAACAACCAGAACAAACGTAGAATCAAGAAAGTTGCAAAAGAGAGGGAAAAATATTACTCCTAATAATAATAATGTAAGAAGATAAATTACAAATATTAATGCTGATTAATAAGAATGCTATGCCCTAGGTACTATTCATGTATTTTTTCACATGACTCAATGCCTTATGTATTGTTATTCTTCCTTGTAAACGAGGAAACTGAGGTCAGAAAAACAAAGTAATATCATAGACCAGAAAGCGATTAAGCTGAGAAGCCGGGATTTGAATCCAGGTTTGTCTGATTCTAAAGCATAAAGTTTCTCTCCTCATAGGAAGGAGCTACTGTGACAAGCTACATATTTGGTAACTCAGTATGTATAACTCTGCTGTTTCTAAGAATAAGATACTTCATCTAGCAGACTTGGGTCAGATTGGCTTCAGAGATATATTCCAAAGTTAAATGTACCCACTGTAAAGTGGGGTATTAAAATTCTTAAAAAACAATTCCCAAACACTGCAAGGAGAAGAGCCCAAAACGATTTTTTCCTTCAGAAAACATGTTACCATCTTTAATAATAGTGTTCTATTTGTTTGTTCCTCAGTTTTCTTGTGCCCCCAACTGCATTGTCCCTGGCATAAGTGCAAAAAATCATGTCTGATTGTTCACCATTTTATTTGCAGAGCCTAGCACAGCACCTAAAACACAGTAGGTGCTCAATTAATATTAGTTGAATGAATGAATGAATTAAACTTCATTTTCTTTCTTTCCAGGGCCTGCCTTTACTGCCGTGTACCACTCCAGACAGCATGCAGAGTTGGTGGAGAGTATAACAAACATCAGAGATATTTTGCAATTCATGGCTGACCCATGCTGATCCTTTCTTTAATTAAACCTTCCACTTGTGAATGAATCATTTCTTCCATTAATTAAAACAGGATACACTTATGTCTCTGTAAAGTATGTGTCAAAAGAAAGCATTCCACCTAAAATATATACAGGAGGCGCTGACCACCGCGGAGAGTCATCCATCATAGTCTGCTAAAAAGATCAGCTCTGGAATTAGAACGAGCACAATCATCTCTTATGCCCTCCAAAATACAGGTTGCAGCTTCTCACCCGATCTGTCAGCTCCTGTGCTAATATAGGGAGTAAAGCATAGTGTGAAGCCGTAAGAGGACCGTTTATTTTGTAGGGCAGGGCAGGCGGCCCCAGCGCTCCGGTAATGCCATCATCTCTAATAACTGCTTGGAGCCTGTGCTCTCTGGAGACTTGTCTCTTGATTGTTAGAGCTGGAAGGCAGCGGAATCTCACTGTTGGCGAGGCTCAACAATTGCTCCTGCGGTTCCTCCGAAAGCCAAGAGGATGACTGAGAAATCTGACGGCGCTGTTTAGGTGGACAAAGCAAGTTCGTGTTCCCACTCACCCCCACCGTCTCCTTCTGGAAGAAGTGGGCTGCAGAAATCGATTTGCAGTCTTTAGCTCCAGGAAACAGTGAGCCCATGCAGCCACTGTTCAAAATATTTTGCCTCAGAGGAAACTCTGCACTCTCCAAACTCCAAAGACCTCGATGAAGTACATAACCATGTTTAAAAATCACCACTGGGGATTCTCCAGGCAAGATGAAAAGGAAAGAAGGATAAAGCATTGAGAAACTCAAAGTGCCTCAGGTCCTCTAAAAACAAGTTTTAAATATCCTGCAAGATTTCAAATGCAGCAATTTTTGAGAAAGCGCGACATTGTAAAGCCTGTTCTCTCGGTGAAGTGTCAGGCTCCATAGGAGTAGGAATGATAAACACTCTTCCTGCATATTTAGGAGGCTGTTTCAGAAGACGCCAAGTGATTGCTAAAACAGTCGTGCAATTTAGTGTGTTTTAGTACCACAATTTTCTGTCCAATACTAATTGCTCTTTTATTTTTCCTTCAATTAATCCTGTAAGGCGGGTACAAAAATGTAGGAATGATAAGGACATTTGCCATCATTGGGGCTATTTCCAATGGTGAAAGGAAGGACTGGAAAGGTGAAGTGACTTGTCCAGGGCCAAGGGCAGGTTCATGGCAGAGCCAGGGCTCCCAACTATGTCTCCTCTCTCACAGTCCTGGGCTCTTTCCCCTGTGTTTCTAATGAGGACTGAGTCAAGGGTGATTTATTCCCTCAGCACAGTGCTAGGTACAGTGCCTGTGGATTGATTAATGCATTGATTCCCACAGAATAAGAGATTTGAGATTACTTGACAAATCTCTCAAGTACTCAGGAAAAAAAAAATCAATAGTTTTTCTTTGACTTCAAGTCCAAATTATTTGTAGTATTTCAGAGGTACTTTCCTCCTGCCTTCAATACTTCTCCGATACTCACTGGCTTGTCTCCTGGGTCAAGATATATCAGACTGAAAAGAGGAGGTATATGAGAGATTTAACAATTAGTGGAAATGGACCATAACACTGGAGAATTAATTGTTCACATGGTACAGAGCAGTGATTAAGAACATTGACTCTGGAGTCAAGTTGCCCTGGGTTCAAATGCTAGCTTTGACATTTAGAAGATGTGTAGTCTAAGATCACTGATTGCGGGCTTTTTAAATCCCGGGGCCTCAGTTTTCTCCTCTGTAAAATGGAAATTTTAGTACCTACTTTACAGGCTTGACTCAAGGATAAATTTTAAAATCTGGCTCCCTTTATATGTGTGATTTAATGACATATTCAAACAGTAACATTAGAACAAGAGCTATGAAAAAATTAGACCATTAAACTTGCTTTATATTGATTGAAGCCCTAATACTAGGTCATTTTTGAGAGAAGAGCATCCTTGTGCTATTTGATGTTATTTCCTCTCTCTCGGCCCCCACTCCACACCACCCTAGTTTAAATGCCCAGGTCCCTTGTCTGCATAACTGCAATAGCCTCCTCTCTGCTGCTTGTCTCTTTCTCTTTTTATCTCCAATCTAGTTCTTCTTGAGTAACCATTTAAAGAAACATATTTGGCCATATCATGCTCTAACTGAAAAGCCTTCGGGGATTCCTATGGCTTACACAATAAAGCAGTACAGGCTGGTCCCAACCCCCTACTGTAACTCATTCCTACCAGCATCATCCCCACACCCCACATTCTAACCAAACAGGACTACTCACTGTTCCCTCAACACCCCATGTACTAATACACCTCTGTGGCTTTGCTCATGATGTGCTCTTGGACTGAAACCATCTTTTCCCACTTCATCACCTACTAAATTCCTGGTCATCCACCAAAGCCCAGCTACAATTTCACCTCTTCAATTAAGCCTTTCCTTACTCCACTCCCCTCCTGGCAAAATTAATTACTCCTTGCTCTGTGTGCGATGCCACTTTGTTCTTATCTCACAAATAGCATTTACTGCATTAAATTATATTTTATTGTATATGTGTCTGTCCCCAGCGAAACCCGGATTAGCAGACATTCGAAACCGTTCCCTCCTTCCAAACCCATGACTCTTTTCCCCACTAAGATCAAGTGCTGCCTAGAATTGTTTTTAACTAGTGCTCTGAGCAGCCCCTCCAAATCCCTGAGTTGACACCAGAGTGAAACAGATTTGCAACCTGTAGCTAAAGTATGATGGCCATGAGTACAGGACCATGTCTGTTTATCTCTCTACTTCTAGTACCTAGTGCAATACCTAGTATGTAATAAATGTTTGTTAAGTACGTGAAAGCAAGGAACCACAGCAAGGTACTATTTATTAGGTGTGAACTCTTAGGAACAGTTCTGGGTGCTGAGAGTGTAGCGTCAGACATAGATTGTTAGTACTCGACACCACACTTCATATCCTAGACTCGGGGACATGGAAATGTAAATTCTGTCTGTAAAAGGAGCTCAGATTTGGGAAATTGTTGCAAAGTAATTCAAAACTCTTTTATACACACAGACACGCTTGCTTGGTAGACAATGTACCTTTTTAATATCATATGAACTTATCAGCCATGAGGTAGAACACTTATCTTCTTCATCCTTCTTCACCAAATATTCCAAATAAGTCTTTATATCTAGTTTTATAATGTAAGTTAACAGGAAAGTAAGATTTATTTTATAGAAATTATAATAATTATTATTGTTAATAATAGCAAACATTTACTGGCTCCTCAGTATGTACCAGGCACTGTCTTAGCTGCTTGATATGTATTAGGTCATTTGATCTACACAACAGTGCTATGAGGTTGGTGATTATCTTCATTTTGCAGATGAGAAAACAGAGTCTCAGAGAGGTTAAGTCAATTGCATGACATTTCGCATCTAGTAAATAACAGAAGTGAGATTCAAACCAAGATGTGCCAAATTTCAGAAACCATACCTTAACCATCATGTTCTATCTCATGAGAACCCACACTGTATCTTGTATTAGTCAGCTTTTTCACAATAATGCTGTGTAACAATCATCTCAAAACTCAGTGGCTTAAAACAGCAAGCATTTATTCTCATGCTCAAAGGTCTGCAGATCAACTGTGCTTCAGCTGAGTTAGGCTGAGCTCAGCTGGGAGGGTCTGTGAATTTAGCTTAGATTTGCTCCATATTTTTAATTTTAGACTCCAGACAGTAGTTACCCAGGGTATCCCATGGCAGGTGACCAGTGCACAAGATTGAAGCTAAATTGAGGAAAGCACAATGTTTTTCATGTCCACAAACATTTCAGTGGCCAAAGCAACCCAACATCAATGGGGGAGGAAAGTGAAGGCCCATGATGGAATGTTGAAGGGAGTAAATATTTACTACTAATAATACCAAGTATCACACGGTACCTTTATTTATTTTTTAAAAAGGTCTTGGCTACTTAATCTTTTGCAGTTAGGCAGGTATTTCATTTTTGCCTCTGAGCAATGACACAAAGTTCAAAAGCTGCTGCTGAAGGCTTCAGCCCTTCTAGTGTCTACGTAGTTGTGTGTGAGTACTAAAATGCTGACCTTTGAACTCTTTAGAATGGCACCGTTGTTGGCAGATTGAAAATCCACACTTTTCTTCGCCTGATTCTTTGCCAAGTTCATGAAGGTGTTTATATATTTTTTAAAACCTTCCAATAAATCTTTGATTTCCTCAAGAGCAATGTATTTTCGGAAACCTAGAAGTTCTTGTGAACAGCTCTTATACAGGCTCAGAATAAGGTTACAGAGGTTCAGAGTAGCCTTAGAGGGCACTTAGTTCAACTTTCTCATTTTACAGATGAGGAAACAAATAGTTTCAGTGTCAAACTTCCAATTATTGCATACTGTGAGCTACATTTTTTTTCTCATATAAGGAAAGCAATGAGAAAAATCTCGGGGGCAACCTTTACACATCATGCTGCAACTGTAATTCTGTAGCGGGGACCTCCATTCAGTTTATTTTATGAGAACCCTCATGACTTTGCTCACTATATGACCACGACCAACTTCCCTGATTGCCTATGAAAAACAGAAATCAAGTCTTTCCCTTTCTCTTTATAATCTTGGGGACCTTCTGCTTTGAGAGCCAGCAGAATAAACTGAGAGACACCTGGTCACCTGCCCCAGTGTCCTGAAGACGACAGCTGTTTTCCACAAGGGAGAGAGACAGGGAGGCACCACGCCCAGTTTTCCAGGAAGGGAATTATGACTATCTTTCCAGGCCAAACACTTTCAATATTTAACTAATATTCTCTGCTATTAAACCAGTACATTTAGAAGGGAGAGTATGCTGGGGTGAGGATGGGAGTGAAGATTAGAAAACTCTAAGGTGAAAAGTACAGTTGATTAAATAAGTATTGATGGAATGAATACATGCTATGGGCCAGATCTTGTGCTAGGGAATAGGGTGATGATGTAAACAAGACAGAAAAAGGTCCCGTGTTCAGGATGCTTCCAGTCTAGCTTGGACATGTAACTAAAGTGCTATCAAAGCAAAAGTATAGGGTATCATGGGAGGGTATATTGCAGGATTTAGCTGAGTGTATGTAAGGAGGGGCTGAGACACAGTCAGAGAAGGTGTCCCTGGGTAAATGATGTTTCCCCAATAGTCTTTAGGGGGCTGAGGTCAAGAGCTTTCCAGAAAGAGTATAGAGCACGTGCAAAGGCCTAACAGAACTGAGAAATAGCTAAGGAAGCCACAGCTTAGTCGGGGAGGGGAGACCAATATAAGATTAATATAAGCCCCCCAAGCTGTTGGGTGGGGACTTATAGGACAAGAATAGAGTACAGAACTTTATTCTAAGGCTAAAGAGAAGACATTAAAAGTAATGTAAAGACATTAAAGTAGGGGAATGACATGATAATAGGATTTTCATTTTTAAAAGGAACACTTTGGCTGTAGTGACAAGAACAAATTGGAGATGGGGGGAAAGAGAGAATTGGGGAATGTAAGAAAATTACATGGAGAACAAAATAAGAATCTGGAGCTGATTCCAAATACTCAGCCCAGGTTGGCTCTAGATGATGTAGAGTGAAGAGTTGGGCTGAATGTGTACTCGTGTGTGTACGTGTGCCTGTTTGTAGATCACACAGAGCATGATGAAGGTCCTCTCTTCTCCCCAAAGTCACCCACAACTTCTAGATAGCTCAGGAATTGGATCACTTATTTGGTGTTTGAAACTGTCTCCAGAACATGCTGGTGAAAGGACAAGGATGGCTTTAGAGTTAAGGCTGGCAAACTGGACACATATACTTAGCTCCCTTTCTTCCTGAAACCCACTAACACAGAGCAATGAGGATGGAAGAGGCAAAAACAGCAAAACCTGTGAAGGGCTGGTGACTGAGCTAGCAGACAAGGCGGACAAAGCCACCTGCAAAGCCTCTTGTGGGGAGACCCCCAGAGGGACTTGGGGACAGAGAGCATAGGCAGGAACTGGTGCTCCTGGGATTTCTGGAAGTGAGAGTAAAGGTGGGGCTGGAGCAGGAGGGTTGGCAGAAAGGGTGTAGAAGCAGGTAGTTTCCCTTGCCTCCACTCCCACTCTCCCCATGCCATGCAGTCACTTGACTTCCTCAGCAGTAAATGACAGCAGAGATTTATTTCCCAGAGACGGTAAACAGGGGGTTTCTGAACTGGGGATGCAGGGAGAGTCGAGGTATGGGAGATCACTGTGCTGAAAACAGAGGGATTCAAGGAATATTGATGGGCTGACTGAATATTTGGACTCCAGCCTTCTTCCCCCACTCAGCTTCCAGAGCACAGCAGCCAGACATGTATTCTGTAAGAAGGGGATTGAAGAGTCTTCTCTGGACATCTGACCAGTCCAGGAGAAAAGGCCCACATGGAGGGTTCCCTAGGAAACAGCCTAGTCATATAACCCACCCCAGTGCCAAGTTGGGGAAGCTCTGGGAGAGATCTCAAGAAAATGAAATCAATAATTACTAATGTGTTTTTACACAACTGGGGCAGAATTTAGATTTGATTAAGGATAAGGTCATTAAAACCCAAGCAAGGGAAAAAACAAGCCAATTATTCACTCTAGATGGAAAAAATGTGCAGGAAAGGAAAAATATTTTTGATATCCCACACAAATTAGCTGCCTACAGCATTTACACAGTCATGGTGATAGAAACATTAGATATTGATCTAACTGAGTTACAACATCACTATATTGGTCAGATGGAACACTACGTGTGTGTGTGTGTGTGTGTGTGTGTGTGTGTGTGTGTGTGACCTATAGAGAGCTAAGTCCCCATCTTGTATGTCGGGAAGCCAATAGATAACTTCTATAATTGAAATATCATGTAGCAACATAAATCTGTTATTTGGAAACTTATAGTTAAATATTAACAGAATCAGAAAAGTTGAAAGAGATTGTCTTTGGAGAGTGTGCAATGGAGGTGGGAAGCATTGTATGGCTTGTTAACTCCTATTTTTCATAATAAGCCATATAAAAATAGTTGACTCCTTCATATATGTATAATGTTAATGAAAATAAACATTAAATTTAAAGAGGAAGGCCTCCCTGGTGGCACAGTGGTTAAAAATCTGCCTGCCAATGCAGGGGACATGTGTTTGAGCCCTGGTCCGGGAAGACTCCACACGCCGCAGAGCAACTAAGCCCGTGTGCCACAACTACTGAGCCTGCGCTCTAGAGCCCATGAGCCACAATTACTGAAGCCCATGTGCCTAGAGCCCGTGCTCCGCAACAAGAGAAGCCACCGCAATGAGAAGTCCACGCACCTCAACGAAGAGTGGCCCCTGCTCGCTGCAACTAGAGAAAGCCCGCACACAGCAACGAAGACCCAACACAGCCAAAAATAAAATTAATTAATTAAATTTAAAAAATAAAGAGGAAAAGAAAAAAGTAGTTATGCTAATATATCCCATTATTGGCTTCTTTTTTTTTTTTTGTACTCCCTTCTGGATTTGACCGCAGTACCAAGTACACATAGCTGTTGCTTTACCTTGTGTTATGGGTTGAGCTGGGTCCCCCAAATGATGTAGAAGACCTAACGTAAATTACTTCAGAATGAGCCCTTATTTGGAGATAGGGCCTTTACAGAGGCAACCAAGTTAAAGTAAGTTCATTAGGGTAGGCCCTAATCTAAAATGACTGGTGTTCCTATAAAATGGGGAAACTTGGACACAGAGACAGATGCACACACAGGGAGAATGCCATGTGAAGTTGAAGGTAGAGATCTGGGTGATGTATCTACAAGCCAAGGAACACCAAAGGTTGCCCTCAGAAGCTAGAGAAGAGGCATGGAACAGAGTTTCCCTAACAGCCCTCTGAAGGAGCCAACCCTGCTGACACCTTGATATTGTACTTCTAGCCTCCAGAACTGTGAGACAACACAGCTCTGTTGTCTAAGCCACCCAATCTGTGGTACTTTGTTATGGGAGCCCTAGGAACTAACACACATGGCATGCTATAGCTCAATTCTGTGGACTCAATAAAGGGAGGGACTATGTTTCTGAATCTTCCACTGAAAGGAGGAGAAAAGGAAGGGAGGAAAGAAAACAGGGAGGAAAGGAAGAAGAGATGGGCCAAAATGTGCCTAGATCAACCTTGACTCCAGCCGGAAAATCTTTCTTTGAGCAAGAGAGGTTATACTTCTGTCTCTAACTCTTTTATAACTGGAATATACATATGTATAATATTTGTAGTTGAAAAATAAATAAATACAAACATACACACATACCAAAGAAAAATGGAAAAGAAAATGTTTCTCCTCAATTCTTCAAAATCTCCAAACGGGAGAATAACTAACTGGTAATGTTGAGATAAATAAAGTACATTGAGGTCAATAAAGGATTAATAGATTGTATTTTAATTTGTTGATTTTTCCTAACAAAGTAAGATAACTGCATTGGGGTAGACTGGGCTCTGCCTTACTTCTCCCTTGGAACTCACAGAGCCAGGGAGACATGGACCCAGGGCCGTTCTTCCTGGGCATACTTGGGAACATTGAGAAAACTTTTCAAAGATTGGCCCTTGATGGATGTAGGTAAGAAGGTAAGAGCTACCACTTCCACCTAGTTGTCCAGCTCCAATACGCGATATGTAAACCACACGCAGCCTCTCTGTGGTTTACAAGGTTCAAACTTGTTAACTAAAATCAATTGAAATAAAAAGGGTCACATTTGCCGTGGTACACAATTTACTTCTCCAGACGGCTTTGGCCTGCACTGCCGGACACACACACACACACGCACACGCACACACACACACACTCAGTAACCCTGGGGGAGAGCAGAGGCAGCTGCAGAAGCCCAAAACCTCCCCAGTCCTAATTAAACCCTCCAAGTTTCCAGGCAACACAGCCAAGGAAAAAATCATTTCCAAGCTGAAGACCCTCAGCCCCCGCCCCAGCAAAGGAAACGGTCGTTTGGTTTAATCAGCCCACGTGCACATTCTCTCTCCACAGGTTGCCAAGACTGGGCCTGTACTTAGCAGAGGTATTTGTGTAATCAAAGCTTCTGGAACTTTCCCTGCCAAGGCTACCAATGTGAATAGGCTCCTGAGGTAAAAATGTTCCCCCTGCTGGGGACGGTGCCCTTGAAGTCTACATCAAAATCAAGCCAGGGTCACAGCTGTTGCGGCACCCCACAGCGGAAAACTTGCAAGAAATCCTAGCCTGCACTACTGCTTTGCCTCAGGTCTAGCGGAAACAGGCCCCAGTTGCAGGGGAGGGAGGGAGGGAGGGAGAGGAGAAAGGGAATATGTTTTCAAAAAGCCAACCCCTCTAAGTAGTACTCGGGGGTGGGAAGACAAAGCCGCCGTGGAACCTTGTCCCTTCACCAAGGCAACCTCACCCCACCACCCTCGCCCCTCCTCCTCTGTGAGCTGGGGGTCCCGCAGGTTGGCCGAGAGCCACTAGGTGGCAACAGATTAACTCTTCAAATGCCAGAGTGGGCTCAGAGAAGTCAGGAGTTGGGTGGAAAACTTTGCACCTGGTCGCTTTTCAGAGGAAAGGAAAAGCAAATGGCTTTTTTCTGTCCTTAAAGACCCTCGGCTTGCAGTGTTGATATCGGAGGAAACCCCGTGAGGGGAAGACTGCTTCCAGGTCACCCATTCTTAGGGTGGCTTGAGACATGGGGAGATACATCGTGTGTGCTCCAGGTTTCACGTCAGTGACAACAGGCTAAAAGACCCTTTGAGAAGCTTATGCTCACGTTCAATCCACTTCAACAAATACTAACTACAGTAAGAAATGTGTGCGTGGCATTTTCCACGGACAGCGCTAGTGGACGAGGCCCCTGCCCTTGGAGTTTGTGGGGATGACAAGCGCTACATGAATGGTGTCTTTTTTTTAACTGAAGTTGATGTACAATATTATATAATTTACAGGTGTACAATATAGTGACTCACAATTTTTAAAGGTTATAGTCCATTTATAGTTATTATAAAAGATTGGCTATGCTCCTTGTATTGTACAATATATCCTTGTAGCTTATTTTATTTTTTAATTTTTATTTTTTAAATAAATTTATTTATTTTTGGCTGCGTTGGGTCTTCGTTGCTGCACACGGACTTTCTCTAGTTGCGGTGACGGGCTTCTCATTGCAGTGGCTTCTCTTGTTATGGAGCACAGGCTCTCGGTGCACGGCCTTCACTAGTTGCAGCATGAGGGCTCAGTAGTTGCAGCTCACGGGCTCTAGAGCGCAGGCTCAGTAGTTGTGGCACACGGGCTTAGTTGCTCTGCGGCATGTGGGATCTTCCCGGACCAGGGCTCGAACCCATGTCCCCTGCGTTGGCAGGCGTATTCTTAACCACTGTGCCACCAGGGAAGCCCTGTAGCTTATTTTATACCTAATAATTTGTACTTCTTAATCCCCTACCCCTATATAGCACCCCCTTTCCCTCTCCCCACTGGTAACCACTAGTTTGTTCTCTATATGTGTGTCTGCTTCTTTTTTTGTTGTATCATGAATAATATAAGATCTTATAGTTAGCCACCTTTGAGGTGTAAAGGAGAGGAGACTCAAATTTTCTATGAGTAAAAAGGAAGACAAGTTCCAGAAAAGAGGCTCATGAAGATCATTTTACATCAAGCTTCTCTGATATGGGAAGGCTTACGTTTCCAGGGTGAGCAAGGCCTAAAATATGGGAGCCACCACAGAGAAACTTTGCCAGCAGAGGCTAAAAATGCTTGCTGTTCAGATGACAAGAAAAACAAATCATTCCCCTGTGTATTCTAGCCTCTGCAAAGCATCCCCCCATTCTGCCTATTAAACTTCTCCCACAAATATAAAAATACTGTGGTGTTGATTGGAGTATAGGGCCGGAAAGGTGAAATTGATTTACTTTAGAAAAGCGAGAGGGAGCTACCAGCCTCAGGAGGAATAAATTCAGAAAGGCGGGACGGAAGCTGGGGGAGAGAAGACAAGTGCTCTTTCGCTGGGTTTAAGAGAGTTTGGAGGGATACTGGGAGAAGGAGGAAAGAATTGGGAGGAGGGAGCCATAAATGTGTGATATATACGACAAGAGAGAGATGGGAAAGGCAATTTTAAGATGTTTTGCTGTGCATTTGGGATTCTCTTTGATATGGTTCAACAGAACTCAGTAAAGATTAAAATTACCTTGCGATTATTTTTATTTCTTGGGCTGGAAGGCCGCCGATGACAGAGCAAGCAACTTTGGTGGCAACACTCCCTTCCCTTCCCGCCTGTCTAGGTGGTGGGACAGTGTCCAGATTGTAAATTCTTTCAGGAAAAGCCATTCCAGGATCTCTGATAGGTTATACAAAACGTAAGTATTTGTTATGCTAATTCTAATATGCAATTTCTCATTCTTGAATAGGCAGCCTCAGAGTTTCACTTTTGCTCTACACATTCACCAAAAAGACAGGAAGCACCACAGTAAGACAACTCTCTGATCATCAAGTGACTTTGGACGATGATGTCACGTGGTTTTCTTTAATCATCACCATACTTATACTGAGTACATGGCAGGACTAATAGGTGTTGGGTGGAATCGGGGCTCAGAATGGCCCACTGCCTCAGTTCTTATTTGGGACAAGAACTGTTGTGTGTTGGAGAATTTTAAATGAGTTTTTCCCGAGGTCCTGATCATACTTTCATTTTTTCTCTCTGCCAGATTCCCTGTATCTCTAACCACTCCTTTACCACCCAACCATGTCTAGTCTGCTAAGCAAATTCCTACCCTAAAAGAAAGCTTTTTGAAATGTCCCGGGCTCTGTGAAACCTGCCCCGAGCACTCACCACACCCTCTGTACATAAGTCACCCCCTGGTACTGCGATATTGCTTTCATATCTACCTTCCTAGCTAGAGTGAAGACATGAATGATCTCTATATCTTCAGTGCCCAGAACAGTGCTCAGCACACAGCTGATGCTTGACAAACATTGGACCAAGACCTGTCCCATATCCTGTCCTTCCATGCTGAGAAAACCCGTCTTTTGAAAAGCCATCATCTTCCAAGCACTTCACCTAGAACTCAAATGGCAGTAGGTGCTAGGGAATTCGACCGATTATTCATCCCTCTAATTATAATGTGTATTTCTCAATC